TAGTGGAAGTGTGCGTTCTCGCCATCTCGAGAAGTTTTGACGACGCCCTCGTAGGTCGTGCCGTCAACTTGCTTGCGAGTGCCCTTGGCTCATCCGAATATGACCAATTACAACATCCACTTTTCACCTCTGATGGGGGATCAAGCTCTTGATGAGACCTTTCCGATTCTCCTTGCGTCTGTCCTCGCAAGATTGCCTAATTTTGTGTCACCTTCACCTCCCTCCTTTATCATCTGCCATTGGACCAATTCCTTGCGTTTAATGCGGTTTAGCAGAAATGTCGCTTCTTGTTCAATTCTGGGACACTGCCTTCATTAGTGATAGACACGCGTAGACAAGCATAAGTTGGAGATTTAGAGTTCATGCACTTCGGTTCGAAGGACAATTAGCATGGCATTGAGCAAAAGATGTGGAGACCAGGTCCCAAAGTCAGTGGCAAGGCAGATGATTTCGCAAACACACTGAAGAAATTCGAAGTTGAATGATTGCTTGTCAACTCTTCCTCTTGCATCAAAGATTACTCTCTTGTCTCTACATCACATGGACGAAAGCAAAATAAACGACACCGTTCTTCTCTCCAAATCAGCAACTATAGTAGACAATTATTCCTGACAGTGACAACACGCTTTCGCAATCATCAGCATGTCTGTTTTGTGGGGAGAAGGTCGAAACGACGAGGATATGGGCATGGGATGACTGGTTTCTAGACGTGGAAGAGATGATGGGGAAGGACAGGGGAGTGAAGTGGGCAGGGAATAAAGAGGAGACAGGGTATAGACATCGCCTTTCATGCAATCCGCTCAGTTCTTAATCGCTGGATCCATCGGTAGAGGCGCACGTCTCCGATGGCGGTGGCGCCGCAGAACGGAGGAAGAAGCTGAATTAGCAGCTTGTCCCGACACTGTCCTTCCTGTTGATGAGGGAAGGGTAGACACACGGTGGTGAACTGTGGGCGCCATCTCCTCCTCCTCCTCCGCCACTGTGATGTTGGAGCGGAGGCTGTGAGTTGCAGTAGAATGCGGATGCGCCAGCGTCATGCTACATTCCATTGTGTTATTTTTGCTGCTCGAGATACCAGTCATGCGGCGGAAGCGGTTGCGTATCAACGACATAGAATCGGAGAACCAGCGAGTGAGGCGGGCGGTAGAAGCTCGGCGATGCCGTGGTTTGGCCTCCTCGTGACTTGTGCAGGCCTCAGTAGTGTAGACTACAGGCTCAGGTGCGGGTTCGCCGGAAGAGCAATGGTACTGGAAAAGTGATTGAATATGGACTCTATGGAGCGAGGTTCCAGAGGTCGAGTGACCTTGTTCCATCACTGCATGAACACGGGATGGATGCATGGCTGAGTGCATGGAGGATAGAGGGATAGATGGATGGCAACGGAAGTAATCGAACCACGACCATTAGTAGATTGAAGACTCGTTTAGCACCTACACCTCAAGGTGTGCAGGCAATCTCGAGCATCACTCACCAGACTCGCAGAATTTGTCAGCTGCTGCAGCTGAAGACGCCGTTGCTGCTCCTCTTCCATGTGTCGTGCCAATGAGGAAAGCTGTTCAGAAGTAAGTGCGCCTGTACTCAACGTGTAGCGGTGACTCTCGTCCACGGGGATGTCCTGCGGCGAAGTGGGCGGCTGTTGCTGCTGTCTCTGCATTTCCATTGATGAAGACGTTGAGAAGAGGGGCTGGGAGTGACAGTAAACGCGTGAGGCGGTGGTAGTAGGGCGCCAAGCAGTATCGGAGGGTGGGAAAATGTCTGGTGAGCGAACAAAGGGTTGCAGATCGGCGGGGGAGGGCTCTTCGGACAGTGGGAGCTGGAGCTGTTGGGGTAGAGAGGATATGGGTGCTATCCCGTAGTCCATGATCCCTAAGGCGAGAGAATAATGTGCAAAGTTGATCAAGATCGACAATTTTGAAGAGGACAATGGGAATTAGGAATCCTAATAAGTACACCAAATACTCACCAAGACGAGAAAGCGACTCTTCCAGAGGCGTTTCAAACTCGCCAACGTCGTGGAAATTGAAGGAGAAGGGTTGAGCCTCATCAGTTACACCAGTTTCTGTTTGACTCGGTAACGGAGGCCAGTTATGGAAATTCTGCCAGGAAGTAGAAAATAGTTTATAGTGAAGAAGAGTTAATATAATGATGAATTGCAATGAAAGCACTTACCCTCAGTTGTTTTATCACCGACAACGGCGTAATCCGCCTTTCCTCCAAAGTGAGTGACGGTGATTGTGGCAGATTCACTTCACCTCCTGCAGCTGCCAAAACCTCGCCGCTTTCCTCTCCATCAAACGACTTGACGCTGAAACGAATAGGCGAGTGCGGACGTGACGGTGAAGAGGGCAACGGATGTGAGGTTGGCGGTGGTACATCCACCTCGGAAATGTGTCCCATGGCACGCATTGAATCGATCTCAGGAAGAGAGAAGATTCGAGCACCGGTCTCATCGATGTGTGGTGCTTCAAATTGCGGTGTGGGCCGTCGGAGGTAGAAAAGGGGATCAAGCCAACAGGCGAAGCCTCGAGGCATGAGAGTAGAAGAGGCGGGAGCGGTGGCAGTGGTGTTTGACGTTGAGGAGGTAGCGATGACAGAGTTCCAGTGTGCGGCACAAGCCTTCGCGGCAGTAGAAAGACTAGGTGGGGGAAGGAGATGTTTTGTGTCGCATATCCACTCATGTCGAGCCACATTCTCCAGACTCAGGCGTTTCTGAAGGACAGACGAGTGGAAAGTGACAAGACACTGCTAGAAATAAATGATGAGTTGTCTTCAAATCAATAAACATTGTGTAAGCCCATTCAATGTTAAAGAAACGAGAAATAGCTGACTTCATCAACATTTAATATCGCAATCCAGCCATCCATACCCACATACTGGGATCCACCCATACAACGAATAACAAGATATCAAGGAAGAATCCGCAACAATCAGACTGCTTTGCTTTTGATTTCAAGTGTGTAGATATGGGTGTGACTTTTGTAGATTAAACATGTGATTGTTGCATTGAAGGGGTGCTTTTGAGCAAGCTAAGAGGCTTCGAGCCAATATGGAGTGCAGGTAAAGTTGGCATGAAAGTGAGGAAAGCCTGCCAAAAAATATACTATCTCTAAAGGGATGGAGTAGAGGGAGAAACTACTGAAATTGTAAGAC